TAGATCCCCGATCATTTGACAAAATCTCAAAATGATGCTCGTGTTAATTTATGAACGCAAATGCTCTTTTGGCGGTACTTCAAAAGACGTATACGAGTATAAGATTGTAACAGGTGACGAATCATAAATGTAAGCGTATGAGCGGGAACGTAAACAGCAGTCGACTGTCAAAAGTTGTTAGTGCTCGAAGCACTTCGAAACAAATGGTCGCTTGTTTTTTTTTGGGAAAATTGTTCATGTGGCAAATACACCAATACAGGAACGTAAAACGATTAATTTCAAATGGTACATAACTATTTGTTTACCAGAAATCTTCAGTTAAAAACGGAAAACAAACAAGTGCCGTCAGATCATTTCCCAACTTCATCAAGATAATGAGAGTGTTCACACATCTCGTCTAACAACCGACTATTTGAACATTCAAAAAATCGAATTGATGGGTCATCTACCCGTCCTGATTTGGCACCCAATGACTTCGTCTTATTCCCGAACTCCAAGAATACTCGTAAATTGCATGAATAACGATTTTTGTCGGCGGAAAAAGTCATTGTTTCATTGGAAAACCATGTTTTGGAGGTGTCTGAAGAAGATTGAAATAAATGCTTTGACAAATGGTTCAAACGCATACAAAAGTGTATTAATCGAGAACTATGAAGCGATTTCTAATGATAAGTTAGTATTTTAGTATTATCAAAAAAAACTTTTTGTTGTTACAATTCACTACCATTCGAAACCTTGTCTCAAAATATACTCCGTAGTCTGTGTAGTGAAAATTAATTAAAGTATAATTGTTTGGCACAGGACCTCCTTACATTGTAAGCATTGCATGTAGGATGATGAAGTGGAATCACCAACACACCTTCTGCTACAGTGTCCTACCTTCGCAAGACATAGACTATCCTATTTAAGGTCGCATTTTTTCTATTCACTAAGAGAGCTAGATTCTATTTCCATAGCTGGTGTCAATGGCTTTGTAGCCAATACCAAGTGGTTATAGGGACAGGTGTCAAATTCTTTAGGGTATCACAATGGACCTCATGGTCTAAGTGAGTCTTCGGACGGC